GCCCTTCATCAGAAACGCTCTTCACTCGTCAATCGGAAAGGTGTTCTTCTTCTCCACGACAATGCACGTCCACAAGTGACACGTTTGACGCAACAGAAGATTATAGAGTTTGGTTGGGAAGTTCTCCTCCACCAGCCATATTCTCCAGATATGGCACCGTCAGATTACCATCTTTATCGTTAGCTGCAACACTATCTTAATGGAAAGACCTATGGAAGTGTGGAAGGTGTTAAAGAGGACATCGACATGTTTTTCGCTTCAAAGTCAAGTGATTTCTTTAATAAGGACATTAACAACCTGATTGTAAGATAGAAAAGCATCATCGATAAGAATGGAGACTATTTCATTTAATAAATGTTTTGTTTTGATATACAAGTTTTTCGGGTTTTTTCATCTAAAGAAAAGTTACATTAATTTCTTGACGACCTAATAGATAGTGATTATCATTAGAAGTTTTTAAACTTAAACTAAGTCCCGTCCTTATGGAACGAGTGTTTTAAAGCAGTGTAAGAAATTAATAATTTAATTTTATGAACATTGCATTATTCATTTAATGAAATGTGATTTGACCAGTTCATTACCTTGTAAAACCTAGAAGTTTTTACATTATGCTCTATTTTATAAGTGTAATTTGTTAGCTTGGAAAACTTTGTACTAAATTAAAGCCATAGTGATAAACAATATCACTTTTTGTTTTGCTCGTAATTACGTGAAGAAGTTTTTGCAATTATTCAGGGTTTCTAACTTTAGGGGGATATATGTTTTTATGTCATTCTCAAAATGGCGTTGCTTGACATGAACTATAGACATTCCCTAACATGAAAATAAGCTTTCTTTTCTGATCTGACGGTTGAGTGCTTTTCTTCGATCTAATTGTTGAACACGTGATTAGTGTTCCTTATCTAATTAGATCACGAACGATCATTGGAGAAAAAGCAGCAAAAAGTTACATCGAAATGATGAAGGAGTAAAAGGACAAGGAAAACTGATATTTTTCTTGTCTGGCACAGTATTAATTGTTATTGTGGTATTTCATTTGTGATTTTTTTCTGCGTCTTTCTCTTCGTAGACGCTCTGAACAGTAAAACGTGCTTCTTAAAATTAGATTATATTTATCTCGCATAACAAGTTCCTTTAATGAAGTTTCTGGTGCAAATATTAAATCTGAATAGGATGTGTAAAGATGAATTGTATTGCTCACATCGTTATAATTAATTTCCAAGAGAATGGGTATTATTTATGTTTGTGTTCAAAAAATAGAGAAAAAAATGTGATTAACCTTCAATAACTAAGTGGTCTCATGTTTCTACTATTTTCAGATGACGAAACATTTTCAAGACTCGGAAGGCTTAAAAAAGAAGATAGTATCAAGCTGAGGTTATTTATTAAAAAGACTGACTTAGAAACATTACATTAATTTTAACCTAACACTCAATAAAGGGACGTATGAACTAATTAACATAGACGTATTCATTATAAACTGAATAATAAGGCAGAATTAATTACGATATTAAAAAAATCACTTAAAACCTAGAAGAAGAAGAAATGCTACTAAAATCAACTAATAAATATACATATAAATAAATATAAAACTGAGGCTTTTGTGAGCAGAAAATATCATTTATTATTATAACTACTTTCCTTATATGAAAAATTATGATAAACGTTGAATGTTTTAGAGCTTTACGCCATTTTTCTAAATAAATGAACGGTTTCACATATAAAGCTAGCGTAAACTCGAAAGACACGTTATGGTCCCCAAGTAGCACTATGACTCAGCTCGGTTTAAACAAACTACTACCGAAACAATATATTCTTATTTAGCACTCTTAATAATGATATGAAAAAAAAACAATATTACGGTCATCTAAGGTTTTTGGGGCAAAATAGTAATGGATAGAGAAGGAACTAGTTTTACAGGGGCAAATTCCGATTGGGAAATTATGTTCAATATGACAGGAATACAGGAAAATGGATTTTATTATGATACCATACAAGAGCTAACCCAAACAGACATCGAAAACATAATACTTGAGAAACATTTTTCAGTAAACGCGCTTCTGTGGCCAACTTTAAATTTTTCATACCAAGGAAACAGCACTGAGGTTTTTCGAAACTGTTTATCATCAATCAGCAGCAATAACACAGAATGCTGGAAGTTAAGCACAAAGAATAACAATACATTAGAGCTTATGGAGAGTTCGGAAAGGGGATATTGGGCGCTTGTGCTAGTCTTACTTCCCTTTCTGGCAGTGGTCGGAAACATCCTTGTAATACTAAGTGTCTACAAAGAGAGAACACTTCGAACTGCAACCAACTATTTCATTGTGAGTTTGGCCTTCGCTGACCTCTTAGTTTCAGCAGTAGTAATGCCATTCGCCGTATATGTGCTGGTAAGTCCAAATTTATTCCTTTATTTTAAAAAAAGTGGAATGAATTAGTTTTGATGACGAAATAGAGTTCTGATTATATGTTATTGTTTTTTACATTGTGAGAAAATGAATGTACTGAAATAAATAATATCTATCACTTTATGATTTTTATCTTTCGACGTTAATCAGTACACTTAGCTATTTATGTTTTTATCGAATTGTCTACTTTATGGATTTGTTTGTTTGTTTTTTCAAATTCGATCACATTTTTTATCAGAGTATAAATTTTTCTTTATGATCAATACTTTACAATACTGTATTCTTTTTTATCTAAAGTATGATTATTTTGGTCAAAATATTTCAATTCATTGCTGCAAATCTTAAAGTCGAGTATTCCTTATTTGGCAATAAGACTAGTACAAGTATGTGTACGTAGTAGGCAGAATAACCGAGTTGACAGAACATACTTCATAAATTCTGATGGACCTTACATTATGAAAGTTCTTCTACGAACATCACTATTTCTGTATGGCTTTAAGCGTTTCTCTACTAAGAAATAAAAGAGCCAGCAAGTTTTCTTGGTATTTGTCTGTGAAGCTAGATGAAACTAGGAGAGAGAGAGAGGTGAAGGTGGTTCTTGTAAGAATGGAATGCAGTTTTATCCAGTGTTGGCAGGAGCAAGTATAAATCATTGCACCCTGCTGTGATCAGGATCTCACAAAATTCTTCATCCACATATGTGGTTCTTGCTTGAAAATGTCATTTAACCAATTTGATTTACGACTGCTCTCCTAGTTTTAGGATGACATCTACAGTGATATTTGTCTTCTGCTTCAAGTAAATGAAGGCACCAATTGAATTGCCCGTTTTTCCTATTTGAAGGACAAAAAAAGAACAGAATCAGCTGAATAAGCTACATTACTTCTGTTTGAAAGTGAAAAACTCTGGTTTCATCGTTTAACCACGAGTGCCCCTAACTACAAAGTTAAATATATATATATATCTGACATTCGTTACTTTTTAATCATAATTATTAGTAATGAACACGATACCCAAGTTTACTTTCCAACTATTGGCTGGAATTCAGAAAAAAATTAACGTTAAGTACGAACTAATTTCGCTTATGTTCATTCCCTTATGGATATACTACATTACATTATATTTTCATATATTAAATAAACTCCACAAATAGAAACAAGGCTTTTCATAATATAAATTTTAAAACCTGATAATTTGGATAATTTTCCAACAATAACATCTTAACACTTGGACTTTTTTTTGCGTCAGCGCAATTTCACATTGGAGTGTCACGGCAGCAGTCAGACCCCCGATGGCTTAACAGATGGCTGTTGGTTTATAGCGATAAAAATCGGGTTGAGATATCGCAGAGAGTAGAACACAGGAAGCCCATTGTGCAGCTTTGAGGGTAACAACAATGAACAGGAAAACTAGCAGTCAGCTTAATCTTCTTAATTCACCATGTTCTTCGACCATATTACAAGTTAACACAAAAACAACACACTTTGTTGATTATAAAATATCATACCATTACAAATTACCAGAAAGAAATTTAGGAGAAAAAAAATATGCGAGTAAAGAAAAACAGTAACAACTAACCTTTACTTCGGCATCATCATTTCAAAAACAGTAACAACTAACTTTACTTCGGCATCATCATTTCAAAAACAGTAACAACTAACTTTACTTCGGCATCATCATTTCAAAAACAGTAACAACTAAAAAATGATGGTGCCAAGTAAAGTTAGTTGTTACTGTTTTTGAAATGATGATGCCTTATCCACGAATTTGTACGTTTTTTAATTTTCAAATACATCTTATTACTTTTTAGCATTTGAAAATTTTATGTAAACATTTACATTCATACAAGTTTTAGGCTCCTTGCCGCTTGTAATTGCTAACAAATAGAAACTGTATCACGAAAACACAAAATGAAAAAAGATATGCTGATTTTAAGCAGTGTAATGCTACAGACTTACCTTCTGAGCCACTGGAGAGCATATTTTTTAAAGGTAATTTAGACTTTTCTGAATGAATGAACAGTGAGATTAACATTTGAGTTGGTTTGTTTGTTTTGAATTTCGCGCAAGGCTACACGAGAACTATCTGCGCTAGACGTCCTTAATTTAGCAGTGAAGGCAGCTAGTCCTCACCACCCACCGCCAACTCTTGGGCTACTCTTTTACCAACGAATAGCGGGATTAACCATTACATTATAACGCCCCCACGCCCGAAAGGGGCGAACATATTTGATGGGACGGGGATTCGAACCCCCGACCCTCAGAGTGCGAGTCAAACACCCTAACCACCTGGCCATGCTAAGTCTACTAACATTTGAGTCAAAGCATCGGTCTTCTTAGTAAAGTCGCAGGTTCGAGCCTTTCGCTTCCGAAGAATTCTGAAATTTCAAACTTTCCTATCTCCCATAGTTTTCACTCACATTTGAAAAATAAATCCAAGAGTAATATTCCAAGAACCATTTACAAATAACGCAGTTTGATTTAAAAAAAAGTTGTAGTACAAACTCCTGACGATATTAACCTAGCTTTTTTATTTTACTTCTATATGGTAATTAGTTTTGTTTTATATAAAACTTTAGTAGCGTGTAACGCTTTGCTTTTCTTTTAACTTATTTTTATTTAATCATTGTTATTTCGTAGCAGCAAGATCTAATTGATTTTCGGTTCATACTATTAGCTGTGAAGGTACTAGTAGCTCTCTTGAATATCTCAATATAAAACACTTTTGATTTTCAAATTCATACTAAAACAATAGAATAAGTTGACAGTAGCTGATTGACAATTTAATTCTTTAGGAAAGACAAGTAACATAAATCAATACATAATGTAATTATTGATATCTGTGCCATTTGAACAATATTTAATATTTCCATATATCAATTACCTCTCCGCCAAGATGTGCCAGCTCAGAAAAAAAACACCCAAGCATATCTAATCCTAGCTTTTAAAATTATCCTAATTTTTAATCTAAGTTACATTCTTCCTTTGGCAAATTGAAATGGATGTTTTAAGACATTTACGGTAATAATTTGCATGAATTACCTTTTAATAGAAATTAGTAAGGATACCATAATTCAAAGTAATGATATCATAATTTTAGAAGTTTCTCCAATGTTTTACTTTAACACATCTTATATATGGTTGTGAAAGAATATATTAAAAGTTTTTTACAAATAAAACGGTTGTTGATATAATGAAGTTTTATTCGCGCTAATAACACTTAAACTGGAACCTATCCGAAGGCAAGTAAAATTCCAGCATATTCCATTACCTGTATTTCAACCTTTAAAAGAAAGGTTGCTCTTTAAGCCAAAACTATACATCATGTGGAAGCTGATAGCTTTATCATCGAAATATGACACAAGAAAAGCATTACGTCAAATACCAAACGAAGCTCATAAATGTATATATTTTAAGTATCTGCAGGCAGTATGGATCAGTGGCTTCGCGTTTCGGCACGTAGCCAAGTTCGAGATTGAATCGCGTCTTGATGTTGTGTCCTCGAACAGGACACTTTTCCTCACTTGCTCCAGTTTACCCAGCTGTTAGCAGAGATTAACCTGCGATGTACCGTCCAGGGGAATGCGTCATCATTCTAATCCACTTGTGTCGCTTCAAACAAGAATTCGAAAGCACCGGCACAATGTGGCTTGCAAAGACAAGGCAATGATTTAACTTTTTAACACACCCTAATTATGTTTAGGTCGAAGTACGCTTAGAAAATAAAGAGAAATATAAATATTATACCGATTAACATATTTCAAAATGTAAGCAGAAATGTCCATAGATTAGATTTGTCTTTTCTGGAGCATCCATACCGAGATCTTGATGCTTACAAATCCAGCAATTTTAATTATAGACGTTTTGTTTATTTGTTGTTAATCACAAAGCTACAAAATGGGCTAGCAGTACTGTGCTCACCGCGAGTATCGAAACCAAATTTTCAGCGTTAAATTATTGTCATGCCTTTGTGTACTTGAGCAAGAAACTTTATTACATCCTACCCAGCAGTATCATGGATACCAGCCGTTAACTGGAAAGTTAACCTGCAGTGAACTTGTATCCTGTTCAAGCTGGAGGCATCACGTTCTCATTCGCTGGTGCCAATAAATCGGAGTTCAGCACCAGATCCTATGTGCAATCTTGGCATGGGATGGATTAGAGTTTGTTAACTATCTACTTGTCATTTTGCCAGTTTTTCAGTCCATCTGGCCACCTGTCTCTCATTACAAGATGCGGTAAGATGTGTGCGTTTTACGACTGTGTATTCTATTTACTACAAAGACAGTGAATAAATCCACTACGCAGCGTGATTATTTGATTTACGTATGTGAAAGAAATTTTCAGTGTACATGTTCGTCTGACTTAGTTACTTATCCTCAAAATACCCATTTGTTTTTATATTCTTTACCAAGACAAAGGCCCATATCTTGTATCATATTGAGTAATTATGTTTCGTCCTGTTGCAATACTCAGAGTAAAGAACTAACCCAAATCATTGGATAAAACTATCCATTTTCTATGCAAAATACAAAGGGAATTCCAGCAGTAACTAGTAGGATTAAATTTTAAAAGTATGGTAATTTTGTTTACATTATTTATGACCTATGTATGATGTTATTAGGAACGTTGTAACCTAGAGAGTCGGGAACCTAAAAGCAATTTGATTCTTCTTACTTTCTTCCTGCGATTTTTAATCTCCTATCTGCTTTTCTAACTGTCAGCTTTTAGCTTTGCTGCTCTTTACCCTTGTAATTCACCTCTCCTTCGGTTGCAGGCTCTGAACTATTTGTTTTGAAAGAGTACATGGCCCACCATATTTGAAATTAAATAAAAAACAAAATTCCACAATTGCTAAACCTTATCACACTGAAAGAGTAAATGAGTAATAAATTCTAATGGCATCTGACAAAAAGAACAATAACCCGTTTGACAGAAGTCCAAACAAACCAATTTCACATTTGTTGTAAATGCATGATGCCA